GTATGACTATAAATGAAATGCGTAAAAGACCCAAAAAAACCCTGACTAGTGATACATAATTTAACAAACAAAAACAAGTGCATCTTATGTAAAATAATAATCTTTTTATACAATACATGAAGGCGAGCATGAAGGTACTCTGGTACTGGGATACTAAAATCTTAGTGACTATAATTTTCTTATGACAAAACAATTAATTTTTCTTTTGCGACACGTACACCGTACTATAATGTAAATCTTTAATGCTGTTGAAATGTATTTTAAATCATTGAGGTGTAAATCATTTTTTTTTTTTTTTCTTTTTTTTCATACATCACGAAACTTAAAAAACAATTCAAACAATAAAAATTCAGCGATTGCCCATATGAAAATAATATTTCCTATCGTAAAAAAAACAGTGAACCATACATTTTTTTGCCACTAACATTTATCTTTATTAACACCCTCTCTCATTGGGCGCACAATCGAAGCACAAATCTCTTTTCGAGAGAACACATATCATTAAAAAAGTCTCGGGACAAACAAAACTCCCAACGGTTCGTAAAAAGTAGGGCAAAGCTCTACGGTGACAGACGCAGTCGAAGCACGACACACAATCTGGTGCGTGTGTTCCGCTGTGTGCATCACATAGTAAAAGCACGCGCGCCAAAGTAACGGGCTTACCGTGTGTGTTTTTTTTTTTTTTTTTTTTTTTTCGTGCAGAGCACTCGCTTGTGGGGCTTGAAAGTGCACGCGTTTGGGGAAACAGACAACACGCGAGTAATTTCAATTCTGCAATTTTATACAAGCACGTATATTNAAAAAAAAAAAAAAAAAAAAAAAAAAAAAAAAAAAAAAAAAAAAAGTAGCGATAGGAAAAAAAAAGGTAACTGGTACAAGTCACGCGAATAACGCTGATTGAGAATCAAATGGCGAACACGCCGTGAACGTCGTCAGTAAATGACCTTCTTCTTCTTCTCGTGCTGTGTGCGTAACTCGCGTACTGTGGCGTGTGCGTGTGACACACACTCACAAACAACTCCCTTGCGGATATTACTCGGAATCGCGCGAATCGAACGAGCGGGAATCCGAAGCTAATTTTAGGCAAGTCGGGCTCTTTGGATTCCCACTCGCTCGCGAGTGTGTGATGGATAAACACAAGCACTGCCTGTAAATCTCGCGGGGCCACCCGGAGATGCGACGTCTTATGATTCGATTTATCTCTCTTATACGCTCTTTCTTGCTTGATGCAACCACTGCCCGGTTGATTTTTATTATTTTTTGCTCCTTTGGTCATCGTACACTGGTAGGAGTTTTTTTTTTTTAATTTTCGTGATTATTCAGTCTCGGCATATCATATTCCAAGAGCCAATCGCGATTTATAAAACGCTAGCATGAATCAGTCCGTGAAATCTATTGGACTTTTCGTAATGAAATCGTTCTGAAATGAATTGAAAATCACCATTCATTAAAATCGTATCAGGTGTTTCACGAAATCATGAAATCCAAGTATACAATGAGTAAATACATTTCTCGAACTTTATTTGGTACAAAGAGGGAAAAAAATGGTAGTTTTCCTACGAGTTTGAAAAGTCTCTGTTTGCGAACCGAGAGCCTCCCAAAACCACCCGAGGGCGGAAAAACAATTGTTTTTGAAATCACTTGGGTATTTTTTTTACACTTTTTTGAAATCAATACCGAAATCATATCAAGTGAGCTTAAGTCATGAAATTATAAAATAACACTTTCAACAAGTAGACAGTTTTTAATACGAGGACAGCAAGTTTAATCTATAGGAAATCCCTTTGAAATCGATAAAAAAATCTTAAATCATTATCCTCGCAAAAATGAACGAAAGAAAGTGAACATGTTTTTTTTTTTCTAATCAGTCGATATCACACGCCATCTTACTTTGTTCGGGAAAAAAAAAAAAAACATAAAAGTTGAACAGAGACGTGCCACGCCTCATCTAAAATTCAAATGAATCGTACACCAAATTACAAGCCGAAGAGCGTAAAATCGACCGATGCCACCGTGCAATCGAAAGCTCTCCCGTTGACCAAAACATTGGTCATTTAGACACCACAAAAACAACCGATCAAAGCTCACTTGCTCATACACTTTCTCGCATCGGCTCGTTTTCTTATCGGATCAGATCACGCGACGAGTCCCCCCTTACCCGCCTAATGACGCGCGATTAAATATTCTTTGACTCTCCATCTTGTTTTTTCTTTCTTGTAATCCCCTTTCCTTGTTGCTATACCTCGCCGTGCTTGCACCTCCCCACGCGCAAACCGATTAGCATGTATTATACTCGCCCAAGCTCACAACTACAATTTCACAGCCAGCGCGTGGAGTCTCTCCTCCTTCGTTCACCTGCGCGGTTCTTCTTCTCACTTTTTGATCCCCTTGTGTGTGTGTGTGTGTGTGCTCGCGCCTGTTATTCCCCCGTATATGTAACCAAGTTGCACTGGGTCAAACGCCGCCGACCCGGTGATGCAACGAAAAGCAGCCAAGTCCGGATCTCGCCGCCGCCGCCGTGCTGCTATTACTGCTCTTTTCCCTTTCTCGCTCCGCAAAAACCGATCAACCCACTGGCGCTTGCATATTATATACCTACATGCTGTAACAGTCCAAGCGCGGAGCTTTTCCAAACTCGACGTGCAAGCTCGGGCTCGCGGCGAAGTAGAACAGCACCGAAAACGGTCCGATCCCCCCCCCCACTCGCGTTGGAAGCTGCGTGTATACGTTTCAGCAAAGATCGGCAACGAGAAGGGAAAAAAGAGGGGAGGGGAACGAGATCGCGGCTGATTTATTTTTTTTTACGAACGAAGCCTGACAGCAGCAGGAACGGGAACGCGCGTCAATTACGCGGTGCGCGCGGTGGTGGGCCTACTTTTACGTAACCCCTGAGCCGCCAGTGCACGAGGCTGCAGTCGGTCGCGCGCCAGCTCGTAAAAAAAAAAAGCGCCGGCTGGTTGTTTTTCTCTTCGGGGACACGTATGTGCGAGTGATGTGCTGGTGTCGTGGGCTGTTATCGTGGCCTTGTCGCGTGTGGAATCCCGAGGATGATGGGTAATGGGTCCCAGCCGTGGAGCGTGGCGATTGGGTGTTTGCGAGCAACGGGTCTGCAGATGTTTGCAAGAGAGCCAGCGGCGAGGAGGAACGTGTGGGAGTGTCGGCTATTGTGACGGGGGAGGACACCTGATCGGTTTACTTTCGGTCGTTTATTGTTTTCGTTTGTCGAGAAAAAAACAAAAGTGCCTCGACTTTGGGAGTAATTGTTTTTTTTTTGGACTCGTCGCGTTAGCCAAAACTCTCACTCCCCAGCGACAATGGCTATGCTGCATTTGACTTTGGTCGCTAACGAGATGAACAAGAGAATGCTCAAGTCTATATCGAGCCGGATCGACTTGGTAAGCCGAGCATTGATGCATTTTCCCCGTCTACTCCGTTGTACAATATTAATATAAGCATATAGGTATATCAGTTGCGCTTTGTGAATTACAATGTCTAGTTGTATCTGGTTCTACGACGCGAGTGAGGATTTTTTACCGAAAGGACAAAGAGAAAAACGATCTCTGCACCTGAGGAACTTTTACCGCGTCTCTATGGTTGAATTTTAAGAAAATTATATGCCTATGACACGGTGAAGATGTGATATCTCATCATATTGCTGATCATCAATTTTCACCCGCTTTGTTTTCGTTGATTTTTTTTTTTCTTTTTTTTTTTTTTTAATGAAAAGTAAAGTGCATAAATTATGTTTTCAATCAGCCCATTTAAAGATTATTTCATCTCATTGAAAAAACATCATGCAAGTTTGAAATGAAATTTTACCGATTGCCAAATCGTTTGCGCGCGTATCCATAGAGAAGTTAAGTTACCACGGCGCTAAAAATATAGCTACGTCTAGAGCTTTTTTTTTTTCATTTCAGAAATGACTTTAAACGTGCGAATCGTTATGCAAAAACGACGACTCGAACAACAAAACGCTTTTCCCCACTCGTTTATTTCGCTTAAACGCGTTTCGTTTCTACATGCCGATAATTAACTTTGTGTTATGATTTTGGCGAGCTAAAAACAGAGCTAGTTTATTTAAGGAGGTTATTCTAAAATCCAATTTGCTCGAGAAGTTTTTGAAAAAATGTTCGTTAGGCAGTTTTATTGGTGCTCGCGGCTTGTAATTTTTAAAGAAAATTCTGAGGAAACTCAATCTCGACAATTTCATCACTCAAGTATACACAACATATTCTTACTAGAGCGACTGGTGTTATTTTTTTTTTCATAACGACTTTAAACAATGTCATTAAGAATTATTCTCGGAAATCATTATAGTGTTACATAAAAGTTTCAAAATACCTGTAAAGATAACATTTAAAAAATGTGATGATAATTATACGTTTTGTGATAAAATCCGAATGCCATTAGAAAGCAGATTACATTTACATTATTTACTCGTTTGGCCATTTAATTGTTCCGCTACTACGTAATCTCTTATCACCACGTAACACGAAATTTTAACGATATCTTATCGAAATCGGGTCGATTGACACCCAAATGACATTTGAATCTGTAAAACAATAACAAACTGGTTTTCCCTATCAAAATCGATAAAGACCATTCCTAGGTTCCGGACGTTATCCCCGATGATAATATAATTAACTATAACCGATTTTGAACTTTATATGTAAACATTGGAAATAGGAACGACATACCTATAGGTACTACGTCATATGTTTGTGCGTGTGCACCGGCTTTTTTAATGCCTTTTTAATGATTATTTATCGTAGTTTTGTGCATAAGTCACGTCAAAAATATGTGTAAGTGCCATCACATCGACATTGATAATACTACTCTCCTGAAAAGTAGGGACTTTAATAAGTAATCGCAGTCGGTATAAGATTAAAATACATACTTTTATTGCACACATGTACATTTTTTTATAAGTGTCTCTAATAAAGAGGAAAAATAGTGTCGAGTCGTCTGCAATTAACGTATTCCGTGTATCTTTATTGCAGCGAGTTCTTGCTGAGTACGAAGACGACGTCGACGCCGCCGCCGACGACGACGACGAGGAGGAGGAGGAGGAGGAATACGAAAAAATGGCCGAAACGAGTCAGCAGCAGCATCAGGAGGTCGAGGAGCCCAAGACGAACGGCATCGACCTCACCGAGGATGAGAAGAGCAAAATGAGGCCCGCGGATATTGACGCTGTAAGTGCAGGACTTGCTTTTTTACTCGTATTTTGGTATAATTTTTACGGTTTACTACGGATATGAGTGTTGTCTGTTTTGTGAATAGCATTTTTTTAGAGTTTTTGCAGTTTCATAATAAGGGGTCGGATTTAAACATTTTTAGGTTAAGGACGGCTCTGTTTGTGCATATTATTATGCGTTTTTTGTAATTTTTTTGTGTGTACACCTGTACACCTTTTGTGTGTAGTCACCTCGTGTTGGTGACTTTATTTACCAGAGTGCAAAAGCCAAGTATATGTATAGACCCGACTTGTTGCTCCACGCCATCAGGAGTTTTACTATAATAAATGAGTTTGTGTGCAACGAAAAATGACATAAACTACTTTGAGGTTTGATAGTGACATTGTGAATAATCTATTGCAGGACATGAAAGAAATGGAGAGGAGAAAGCGAGTCGAGATGATGATAAACTCGCGCCTGTTCAGGGAGGAGCTCGAACGTATCATAGAAACTCAAATGAAGGACGGCGCCGGTCCCAGCGGACTACTGCAGCAAATCTCTGAAATGATGGGCTACCAGGGAGCTCGTTTCAACAGCAATGTGTTCAAAAGTAAGCGCCGAATCATCTCTGTTTCAAACACAAATGTCATTACAAAATCATCACTTCATCATTATCTTGCAGATTCGAACTGCGTCGTCCCGATAAACGACATACGCGGAGTCGAGAGCATGGGTTACGCCAAGGGCGAGAAGCTGCTGCGCTGCAAACTCGCCGCGGTCTTCCGGTTGCTCGATCTCTATGGATGGACGCAAGGCGTTGGGGGCATGATAACCGCTCGCCTCAACCAGGATCAAGAGCACTTCCTCGTCAATCCGTATGGTTTGCTTTACCACGAGGTGACGGCCTCGAGCCTCGTCAAGGTTGACATGCAGGGCAACGTCGTCGAGCAGGGCACGACGAACTTCGGTGTACACATGGCCGACTACCAGTTGCACTCGACCATTCACGCCGCGCGTCCAGACATCAAGTGCATCATCCACATCGCGACGCCCTCCGTCACAGCAGTGAGTAATCGTGATTTGTGTCGGATGAATTGTTAAATTGTTGACAGTAATTGATGGATCGTGATCCGCAGATATCGTCGCTCAAGTGCTCTCTTCTGCCAATCAGCCAAGAGAGCATAGTCATTGGCGAGGTGAGCACCCACACGTACACTGGCAGTCTAGAGCCAGAGGAGCGTGAAAAGCTCGCGCGCAGCATCGGCATCCTCAACAAGGTCCTTCTGTTGACGAATCAAGGCGCGCTCTGCTGTGGCGCATCGATCGAGGAAGCCTTCTACAACGTTTACAACACGGTGCTGGCCAGCGAAACGCAGCTTAAACTGATGCCCGTTGGCATCGACAATCTCGTCCTGATCTCGGACGAGGCACGCAAGGCCATATACGAAGCGTCGCGGAAGGCACCGGTGCCTCAGAAGAGCAGTGTAGCTGCGGAGTCCTCGGGTCTCGCTGAAAAGGTCGAAAAGCGCTACCACGTTGGTGGCACGAAATTCGAGGCCCTCATGCGCATGCTCGACAATGCGGTTAGTACTTACTCTTTTGTGCATTGCTCTGTGTATAAGGTACATCTTGGCTGGCTATATATCTTTATCTGAATGTCGAATGGGAATGGAGTCGAGAAAGAGGAGGGGTCAGAGGTCATTATCGGAGAGTAGCTCGCTTGTTTACTACTGGAGGCTTATTTGAGCTTTTATTGAATGTAATCGAGATTGCTGCGAGTATGACAGAGAATAAAGTACTATACCGTGCTGTGGCTAGTTTTCGTTTCGCATCATTAACGTCTTTGATGCCTATCGAAAAAAAAAATTTGGCTATTGATTAAATACGGGTGACATCGAATACAAACAACAAATAATCTTACTAAATGATGTTCACTCCTTTTAGGGCTTCCGTACGGGATACATTTACAGACAGCCTTTAGTCAAAACCGAACCTCCCAGGCCACGTAACGACGTCGAAGTACCTCCTGCCGTTTCTTCCCTCGGCTATTTGCTTGAGGAAGAGGAATTATACAAAACTGGGTAAGACATGTCTACGTACTTTTTATAATACCAATTTTAGCATCTTTAAACATGCTGCCTTTATACTTATTTCATAAAGCTAAACTGTGTTACAATAGTTTTCGATTGTACACAAAGAATGATGGTTCGACTGAGATGTATTTTAAATAATTTTTCTTTTAAGAAATTGGAAATTTGGTCGCAAAGGAAACGACAGAACACGTTGGCTGAACTCACCAAATGTTTATCAGAAAGTAGAAATCCTAGAGACTGGCACACCAGACCCAAAGAAGATTACTAAGGTAGAAGTCATAACTTTTGAAGATAAGACGAATTAAACCTTTTTTTATACCAACCGGACTAAATTTTTTTTTAACTAATAAATAGATATATATTCGCGTAGATAAATAAGTATAACTAACTCAATTTTCAAGACGCTTAGAATCGTTAGCCATGTTTATCGGCGTTGCTTTTTTAATATATAGATTTTATGGATGAACTTGCAAAGATCTTATTTATACAGATAACAAATTAATTACAACTGATATATAAATGTATATCAACGTTACGAAAAAAAAAAAAAAATTAATCAAATGATATTATAGTGATCTTAAGAGGAATCAGTGGTTCAGTGCTTTAAAATGCCCTTTGAGATTTTTTGCTTCGATTAATGTGAAAAAAAACCTTCGAGCATTCCAAGAATGCATTCCACTTTTATTTATTAATATACACATATTCTATTTATACTATTTTGTCGTCTTTTAATTGTTAAGTAGTTTCAATGTTTTTAAATGTGCAATTTAAATTTACATATATAGTTATATATACATCAGTGCTACGTACAAACAAAAAACTAAGTGGTGAGATACCGATATTATTAGCCTAGTTCCTCTCAGCACATCGCTGTTGAAAGAATCGTATATCATATGAGTATATTTGTTTTTAAAGCGTGAGACGTGAACAAATTACATCTATTGTAGCTTTTTTGATGTTTCAATAAAAGTAAATGCTATTGAACAAATCATTTTTGATAACTACTTAAATAATCCTTCCTTGGCAATCATTAGTGGTAGAAGTAGAAATAGCACTCTAGAAAAAAAAAGTATGAAATTACTTGAGCATGAAAAACACTTCCTCTCTGCATACTTCTAAAAATATGACTCTTCAAACAAATGTGTGTGCCTGTTGGTCATCATCAAAGCTTTCGGTGGCCTCGGCATCAAACATCCACTGCATCCACAAAACCAGACATCGACTAAAATAAAGGAAAAAAAAATGTAATGCGTTTCTTTATAGAAGCTCCAAGTACGTGGAATACTTTATAGAACACTGAGATGCGATATAAAGTGTAAAGTCGATGTGAAACCGGCTCCGCAAGCTTTACTTTAGGACTAGCAGGCACACAGCTCGCGTTTTAAGAGTTGCCCAAACTTTAATGATTGTTTTGGAATGATTATTCGAAGAGTTTCTTTTTTTGCTTACATATAAAAGCAAAAGGGAAACGAAATTTTGATTAGAGATACTATTATTGCGGGGTCTGGTGTAACGTTCTGGTTTTGTGCGCAGTGGGTGTCAGATGGCTCGCCGACCCACAGCAGTACTCCGGTCAAGATCGACGGTGCCCTTATGTTCGTACCGAAAAACACAAATCCAAAGGAATTCAAACAACTTCAACAACAGGTGCGTTACTCTCTACATGTCAGCATTGTTCTCTTTATGCCTATAAACTCATCGTATTACAATTTTCTATTCAGATCAAAGACTATCGAAGAGCTGACAAAATTTCAGCTGGTCCACAGTCACATATTTTGGAAGGTGTTACGTGGGAAGAGGCAAAGAAGATGCAGGTCCGTTAAAGTCAGATTAATCGTGATATCTTATTTTACAACCGAATTTTAATACTTGAAAAAAAAAAAAAACAATTTAAGGATGCAACAATAAGTGGAACTGGGGAACAAGTCGTCCTTGTTGGGGCCGCTAGCAAAGGTATTATCCAGAGAGGTTTCCAACACAACGCCATGGTATACAAAACTCCATACGCAAAAAATCCTTTTGATCAAATCACGGATCAAGAGCTCGACCAGTACAAAAAAGAAGTTGAGCGAAAGACTAAAGGAGATGGATGTGCGTACATTAATAGTAAAAATTTTGCTTTGTTAAAGTTTTTTTGTTCTCGTACAAACATTTTTACTTAAAATTTTACTGTACATTTGCAGACGATGAGTCACAGTCAGAATCAGAGGGTCTTTCGTCCTTCAACATCAGCCGCGCAACTCATGATACGAGCACTGCCAAGAGCCCCGTTCAGTCGCCAGTTTCTGTCACCTCAGAAACGGAAGAAGAAAGTAGAGATGGTAAATTTTTTGTTTTTTTCTCTACATATTTCACATTTTTTTTGTTCAAAGCTCCTCGAGTGTAATTTGAATCCATATATGTTGCGTTTGTCCAAACAGAGCCTAAAGTATTACGGATAGAAACCAAACAAGTGCCTGCGCCGAGTCAACCGGAAGTTGTGCTTAGCGATGGTGAGTACAATCTATTTTTCAATAACAAAGCATTGGTTTTTTCATGAGTGTTTTATTTTTCGGCATTTTGATGAAAATTTTTTCTTTTTGTATTTCAATTTGCATATCTGGTTATTCAACTTTAATCGAATGATGATCCTTTTCATATATTAAAAAAAAATGAATTTAAATTGCACGATATTCAATGCATGAGCATGTGAAAATTTGTCAATACACAGAAAAATCAGTAGAAATCTCGGTGGTGGATGGTTCATTGACACAGCGGTTTGATGTTAGAACTGAGTCCGTGAAAGCTCAGATTGGGATAAATATGGCAACAGGTGAGAATTAGTTGCAAGTTTAAACACAAACATCATAACGACATTATACATATACTCGTCATTTAATTTGTTATTACTTATTCATTGTATGTAACTTAAGCTAAACTCCAGTATAGTTTACACAAAAAGTTTTTTGGAATTTTTTTAAAACACTTTGAAAGATATATTTTTAAGCCATTCATTACTGATCATAGAAATTCGTTTTTAACACCAACGTTTGCATTACCTCGATGCCAAATTTCATGTAATTCATATGACACAGTGAATGCTGATTTTCTCAATGAGCAACGCCGCTCCGAGACGATGACCCGTAGTAGGAATGCTAATGGACGAGGTAAGTTCTGTGGGGGTTTTTCATTCTGCAGAACTAAAAGGATCACGCTTTCGTATGCTTTGATTGTGCTTGCTACTAAGAATGTCACTCCCAATGTGTAATGCATGCTGTAATTAATATTTTAACATTTTATGTTCATAACCTGGCACTCGCACCTCTGGCTACACGATACATATTTTCTTAGATTTTATTTTAATCCTTTATTTTAATTAATTTTAATTTTTTCCTTCCAATGTTTACCTCAATTGCTTATATTAGCGATTTTATTTAACACGACCTCTCATCTCCTGATCCTACTTACTTTTTATTATTTTGTTTACAATGTCAAATTTAAAAAATTCACGTGGTATACATGAGTACTAATAAACAATATCTTATAGAAAGTGTATACTTTCTTTGTACACAAGACTAACAAATATTAATTTTTTGTTTTCCACATTTTTATCAAGTTTTAATGCATAATTATTTTGTACAATTTTTTTAGTTAATTTTTCTTCATAGTACATTTGAAAGGAGTAAAATATAATACTAAAAACATAATTTTGGAGTGAATTAATTTTTTTTTTTTTTTCAAAGTGGATGTAATGAACTGTGAGTCACCAGCAATCGAAACATATTCGTTAATAGTTTTCAGCGTAAGAGTCCTAGAATTACAAACCTATAGAGCTAACTGTACTTGTGGATAAACTTCATGAATAAATAAGAAATATGAATGAATTTTATCTACATGCTCAAGTTTACATTTTTTATTCGATATTGTTTATGTCCACTCTTTTAGAGTTAAAGTCCATGGTTGAGTTAGATCCGCAGCAATGTTAGACCAAGTTGCGTTCAGGTCATCAGAGGTCTCGTAAAACTAGTAAAAAAAAAAAAAACATGCAAAGCAGTCTGGAAAATAAGGAGACAGGGTCCATGGCTAAGGGGTGCGGGGACCTTCATCATGTGCTGTCCAGTGTTAACACATTGCTTCCTATACCACCCGACTACAACAGCCATTTGTGTGCTGGGCCGATCTGTCGTTGCAGGAATGTCCGGTGTATGGAGCTTTAGCAGTAGCCGCAGCCATTCCAGCGAAGATTCCGTTTCCTCATCGTGGATGCACGACGGCAGCACAAACGGTCTGTGTAAGCTCGAAAGAACTCGATCTCAAGAACTGGCTCGCCCGATGTTCCCTGTATTAGTTGATGTTGCTGGCAGCTCAACTGAGTTTAAAAATCGAATTAGGAAAGCCAAGTTTTTCCAAAACTACGAGAATATGATGAAGAAAAACATCAATAGCAATGGCTTGATTGTCAAGAGTGAGAGCGATTTGAGTGCCAATAATGTAGAAGCTTCAAGTTTAGACGAAGAAGTAGAGATATCAGACGAGTGCCAGACCGCTGAAGAACAGTTTGAACAAAACTTGGATATTACACTAACCGATGTCAAGTTTACAAAGAGTGCTGACGTAGATTTTGCTGAGAAAGTGGACTTATCCTTGAGTAGTACCATTACAGAGAACAAAGATGACACATTACTTTCTCCAAGATTAGTTAAGCAGAGTATGGAGATGTGTAAAAGCAAGGACAGTATTATCAGTAACTTCAGAAAATCCTTGGACAGCGTTTTTAATTCTCTTTCTTTGGAAAAAAACATTGGAGACGATAATATCAAATATATAAATGATGAAAATGTCGTAGAGTCCGTTACAAAAGAAAAAAATGATGAATGTACTTATAAACTAAAAACAGACTTGATCAATACTGATAATCTAGTGGATAACTCGAAAGAAAATGAAAAATCTGGTGATGAATTTGATGATTTCGAAATCGTTAATAACGGGGATCAAAGAACTTTAAGTGAAACGAGTGATACAATAAACCATCTTGTTCCAGGAGAGTTTGTTGTTGAAAAAGATACTAATGAGGGAGAGCAATATGTAAGTGAAAAAGATCTGCTAGTCAAGAATGAACCATGTACTGACAATCAAAGCATAATTAAAAGTAATTCAGTAAACAATATAAATGTCACAGTGGGCTCAGAAGCAATACCAAGTCCAAGTGATGATAATAATAAGCCATTGAACAACAGTCCCTTGAAAGAGAATGAAAAATCCATTGATGAATTTGATGATTTCGAAATCGTTAATAACGAGGATCTAAGCACTTTAAGTGAAACGAGTGATACAATAAACCATCTTGTTCCAGGAGAGTTTGTTGTTGAAAAATATTCAAGTACCAGTGAAGGAGAGCTATATTTGAGCAATAAAGAGATGTTTTTCAATAAAGAATCATGTACTGACAATCAAAGTACACATAAACATGCCGAAGAAAACTATCCTGAAGTCACAAGAGAAGACGCTTCTATTTACAGCAAATGCTATGGTGCTTCAGTGCTTGAAAGTATCGCAGATTTATTTGAAAGTCCAGTACAAATGATAACAAATGTAGAAAAGGAAAATAATAAACATTTTGGCAATTGTGAAATAGAGTCGATTATCGATGAGGAGCAAATAAACAATGACTTGGACGAAACTGTTGATAAGGAACAACAATATTTAATTGAAAGGGATACAAATATCATAAATCTTATGGAAGAAGGGCCTTGTATCGATGAATATATTGGTACCAATGAAGTAGAGCAATATTCAAGCAAAGAATATCTGTCTTTCAATAATGAACTGTTTGTTGGCGATCAAAATGTCGAAGAAAATAACGTAGAAAGCGATTTAGAAGATACAATAGAATTAGAAAGAACTTCAAGTTCTAATAGTAGCCAATTTGATGACTCAATGCCTGAAAGTATCACAGTTTTACCTGTAAGTCAAATGCAGACAATGACAAATGCAAAAGAAAAAAATTATGAACCATTTAGAAATTGTGAAACATACTTGACTGAAAATGATGAGTCACTACCCAACAATCACTTGGAAGAAAATGAAAAAACTTTTATTAAATTTGATTATACTAAAACTGTTGGTGTCGAGAAACAAGACATCTCTGAAACAAATGGAAAAACAATTAATCTTGTTGAAGAAAGACCATATGTGAACGAATATATTGATACCAATGAAGTGGAGCAACATTTAAGTAAAGAAGATGTCGATAATGAGTCATGTTTTGACGATAAAAATATGGAAGAAACTACTGTTGAAAACTATTTAGAAAACACAAAAGAATTAGAAACAATACCAAGTTTTCAGAAAAGTGATTATGATAGTGGCCCAATGCTCAAATATTTCATAGTTTTACCTGTTAATCAAGAACAGGTAGTGACAGACACACAAGAGGAAAACAGTAAACCCACCTACAGTTGTGAAATGGACTTGATTGTTAATGATGAGCCACTGAACAACGATTACTTAGAAGAAAATGAAAAATCTTACGATAATCTTGAAATTGTTGATTGCAAGAAACGAGAAATTTCAAGTGAAACGGATGAAAAAATAATTGATCCCTTTAAAGAAGAGCCCAGTATGTATATGTTTACCGATACCAAAGAAGGAGAGCAATATTTAAGCAATGAAGAGCCATTTGTTGAGAATGAACTATATACTGCCAATCAAAGTACAGAAGAAAACTATCCAGAAGTCACGAGAGATTCAGAAGCAATATCAGCTTCTAATAACAGCAAATGCGAGGTTTCAATGCTAGACGATTTAACAGCTTCATCTGTAAACCAAGTTCAGGAAATGACTTTGATATCAAATGGGTATTATGATCAAACCAGAAATTCAGAGATAGAGAGTAGCTCGATTAGTTCAAACCATTCAAAGCAAACCGAAGTAAAAGATCCATTCGTGGAAAACTTGATGGAAAAACTGTGGAAAGTCGAAAGCGATGTGGAGTCGCGTTTCACTTCGGATCAATCGCAAGATGAGACCGTCCACGAAAGCGAGACCACGGACGGTCTGTCAGATGGCTCCGTCAAGATTCGCAAGAAAAACTTGAGCAAGAGAGCTTCCGAGTCACCTAGTGTCAACAAGAACTACGACAGAGACTCTTCCGACGAAGAATGTAATGAAAAAAAGTCCCAGGTTCTTAAATCCTTGAAACATCTAGAGATTCTCGAGCTTACGTACTCCGAACTCGAGCGCAGCAGTGATAACCCGTCGTCCAGAAACAGTACCGTGAGTTATGACGATCTCGTGGTAAAGCGAAATCCAGATGAGCGTCGCGACAGCCTCGTCGAACTTATCAATATGTGCGTTGACAGTAATCGATACGACACTCCGAAAAGGCCTTCCACTAGAATTACTCTCGAAAGGCTGCAGAACGCCCAAATCTCGGCAAAGTACAACAAAGACATGAAGCACGTGACCGACCTGTATCGTTTGAATCCTGGATACGAAACCAGTCTTGATTCCGATCTCGACACGACTTTGAACACAGTAATCGATAATCGTCAAGTCAACTCTGAACTTTTATGTGAAAATCAATTTGTGGTGTCTGGTGATGTGGATAACAAAAATAGCTTTGGTCCAACGAGTGACGAGGAAAAAGACACGGAAAATCGAGATTATTGCTTGCAAGACGAAACGGAAAGTGATGTCGATAACGAAGACACAGACGAAAACAGCGAAGACATCATTTGGCTTGAAATTTCCAAGGGAGATGAAAACGACGCTAATGTCGAGCGGTCTGAAGCTTCTTTCCAATCAAACGTGTCGAATCAAGGCTCCGATATTCTCGAGTTGTCGTCACAAACATTTCAAGAGCTCAAAACATCCAATCACGACGAGTTCATTAAGAACATCAGTTCATCGGTGGATGAGATCATCGAAGAACTCAATAATTCTCCGGACGACAAGAGAGGATCCAATCTTGCGCTGTATGTACCGAGCGACGTCACCAAGTGTTCGGCACTAGAGTTGACGATTTATGCCGAGCAAATAGCCGTATTGCAGTTTGTTAAGCACATTATCAAAGATTTAGTCGATCGTTTGCCCTGTTACGGTGACGACTTCTTGACAAGCTCACAGGTTGGTAGTTGCGAGGTGGCGAGGGCATACGAATCTACAGACTCGAGCGTTTATGTGATTAGCGAAGTAATTCACCATTTTGTTGATAAGGAGGCTGGTTTAGATGCTCACGATTTAAAGAGTAAGATTATTGTTACCGACAAGGAAGTGAAAGAAAGCGTGAATAAAGAGTTGAAAAATTTGAAGGACGATTACGATGCCGAGGATGAGCAAAGCATGAAGTGTTCGACGCCAAAACACTCGCCGTCTGTGTATCCAAGTGGAAGCAACAACTTTTCCGAATCTTCAGAAGAAGAAGAAGCAGAAGTTGCATCAGAAATACTCGGTGAGAACGAAATTTGCGGAACTGTTGTGGGAGTTGCAACAGATTTGTCGAAAAATCAGCAGGTGCCGATTACAGCCGCTGTGTCCTCGGTTTCGTCCTCATCGGCGGAATCTCATCATCCCGTGGAGCCCGAAACAACCGATAATGACACTAAATCGGATAACAGCAAGGAGAAGCAGACCGACAGTTCTGAAAACTTGAAAAACCAATCAAAATCCTCAAGCGATCATTCCAGTTCGAAAATATCCTCGGACTCTTTGAATGCTCAGGCTGACGAAGCACAAGAGGAGTGCACCGAGTTGGAAAATGGTGTCAACAACAAAGTAACGTTTAGTGTAATCAGTTGTGGAAATAAAAATGATTCTATCATCTTACAAGAAGGTAGAGCGTATTCAGAAAGCAATAGCCAAGATGAAGGCGAAGACACAAGTAAAAAGCTAACCTTTTGCATGATTCATTACAAAGGAGAATATACCACGAACTCTGAGGACGAATCTAAGGCTTCTGTCGAAAATGTAAGTGAAAACGATCTAGACTTTGATACGAGCTTCAAAGAACATTGGATGCAAAATCAAGAAGAGTTGGACCAGTTGTGGGAACGTACCGATGCACTGTCGGAAGAGATATACAAAAAAGAACGTATGGCTGTTGACGGTGGTAATGCCAAGTCGTTCAGCAGCGACGAGTGTGACGAAGAAATTCAACAGATAAGCCGAGAAATCTTGAAAAACATATCACCCGAATTCTTTTCCAACGAAGAGTTAAACTCTTTAATATTCCACGACGATAACGACTGCGAGGATGCGACGACTGAGACTCACGAGCAATTCGAAAAAGTCGATGACCTCAAAATCTGCACGTGCTATCACAGCTGCACCTGTTGTCCCAACGCATCCAACAGCTCGATGGTGTTGCAAAACATGCGTAGCAATTCTCTGTCACCTATAAACGAGGACTCGGAGCCCGAGGACAGCTTCGTTGATGGTTTTGTATATCGCGAGGTCGACTCTTTCGAGACATTGCCGCCAATATATGCCGAGCAAGAAGACAGCTACACCACTGACACGGCCGAGTGCGACTCTCGAGTCACGGATTTCTACTCGTGTCAGAACTCCGAGTCCATGAATTCTGCCCTCGAGGAGCAGGAAATTTTGGAATCAACGCACTCTCTCTCGGCCGAAGAAGCTAGCGACTACGACAATGTAGTGTACATGGCCGATGTGTCAGCGAATAACAACGCCTCGGACGTGTCGAACGGAAACTCCAGGGACGATTCAAGTGTCTCGGAGCGCATGAATGACAGCGATCGGAAGTTTAATGTAACCGATAACCTCGCCGATGAGTCCTGTATCAGTCCAACTCACGGAAACCACAAGTCTTACATTATCGAGTGTCTGACCGTTTCCAGCCACGTGGAGTTTTTAAAGCTGGAAAAACAGTGTTCTGACGATAGTTACGCTGCTGGTGGCACATCAGAGCTCGACTCGTCGCTCAACAATTTATTCAAGATTGAAGATAATAGAATTATTTGCGAAGCTTTCGATGCCCTTCTAAATTAGGATTACAACTTACCAAGAGTCCAAAGATTTAATCCACAGCTGGATTGTGGAAATTAATTTTTTTTAGCATTACAAAGAAAAATAATAGCTTTTATTAAAAATATATACCCCCTATGTGATTATTATATTCAAAGTCTGATTGTTGTGGTTATTAAACTGTACCTATTTTAGCGGGTTCATTTGTGATTGAACGTATTTTATTGAATAGCTTTAAAATAAAGTTGCAATTGTTGCCTTGTAGAATTAAGGGTCGAAATAGTGCCTTACAAGAGTGATTAAGTTAGATAACCTCAAGCTGCCAAAGATTAGAATGTAATAAAACGTGATAAACTAAAATTATAAAATTAGTGCAGCTAATACAACAAAGAACAATTTAATTACGCGGTGATTAAAAAAAAAAAAACACAAAAAAATAAATTGTGAAAAATAGTTAAGTTAACGTTAATTACCATAATATTTACTTGCAAAATGTAATTTATCCTTACATATACCATTGATTTAATGTTCCTTTTTAAAACCTACTACATTGATTATTTTTCAAATAAAACTTTCATTTCATTGCAATCCAAATGTTTGTTTTCACCATTACCATTACAACAATGCAATATTCCAGAAATGATTCGACAAGATTCTGAAAGTTGCACAAGATGTGTACTCGAGTAGTATGCTAATGACATTGTTTTCTAACGTACGCTTCTAACATTTTTCATTACCACTAACAATGTGCTTGGCAATGAATTGGTTTTTATTAGTTTTACGTACTGAGATTATGGTTCTAAATGAAAATAGCTTTTGGAACAATGCATAGCAAAAAGAGTTTTTATTTTCATCAATAAATTGCAATAATTTAATCACGGAAAAAGAGAATAAAAACTTTTCTCTACAAACACAAAAGACATAATAACTATGCTTTTGTGGCGTTTGGTATTTCACGAAGCATGCTATAGTCCCCAAGATTCCCTGTTCCATAATATCAGAAGAAAAATCGATCCATCCTTATGTATACAACTAACAGGTAAGCTTGGTATCATTTTTTTTTTTTTTCGTAAATTCATGGGCTACACTTATATGTATTGTATACGCACAGTTGATTAACAAAAAATTATTGTTTTCCAAATAAAACAGATATTTTAATATGAACGATCTGTTGCAGGAGAGAACACGGTCAACGGAGATCACTCGGATGCCCATCACAGCACGTTCTCTCACAGTAGCAAAGAGGTATTTTTACACGATTTGTATACTTACATTCTCTCGGTGTTCACACTTGGTGTTTCTACTCTTCAGCCTAAAACGGGACCTTTTGACCATTTTTTCGACATTTACATTTCAATTACAAATTTAATTTGACCAAATACTTTTTTTTGTACGTATACTCGTTTTATTTCAAATTTCAATCGGCAAATGACACATTTTGATTAAAAAAAAAAAAATACTGTCAAAATGGTCCAACACAAGTTGTATTATAACACGTGAGTGTTGACACAACAAAGTTGTTTTACACACAAGTTGTTTGTAAGTCCTTGCAAATATGTGTAAATATGTATTTTACAACAGTGTCAGCAACGAGCGTTCCATGAAAAATGATAAAAAGAAATACGTCCATATTCATACTCTCAATCATCAACTTGGTACCATAGAAAGCTATCGTTTTGTTCATTAGATTATGCTATTTTGTTTGAATAAAGCCGAGCTTTCTCGCCGATACGCTGCTTACATGCATGACAATTTTTTTTTTGCTCTTTACCAACTCTTCTGTCAACACGTTAACTGTCGAGAAAAAAAGCCAATGAGTTAAACAATTTTTTTTTGTAATTGTATAAGTTCAAATTTTTATGAGCAACAGAAAAACTTGAAAAACATTTCATTTCATTCTAAACTTTAAATAAGTTTGGGAACATGAAAAAACTCATTAGTTTGTGTTTCGCATCGACGCAACATACACGTCCACGCATACATACCACAAGTACGAAAAAGAAAAGGAGAGAAGACGATGGTGTTGTTGCAAGTTTCATGTACTCACGTACACAATACATAATACAATAAACACGAAACGAAAAACTGCATGTGCATGTGAAAGAGGTTTATGGTTACGGTTGGGACCTTCCATGTTAAGGGTTCCATGTCGCAGGACGTGAGCGTTAGCGAGGATACCCCGAAAAAGGAGAAGAAGAAAAAGAAGGGCCTGCGAACGCCGTCCTTCCTCAAGAAGAAAAAGGAGAAGAAGAAGCCGGTCGAGGCGTAGGTAGTTCGAGCTTCAGGTAAGCTGTCACATCGTTTATTATTCTCTATCTCTCTCTCTCTCTCTCTCTCTCTCTCGTCCATCTGTTGCGCGAGAGAGTCTTCTTCCACCCTCCGATTTCCGACTGCGTCGATTCTTCTCTGCACTGAAGATCAAAGAAGGCCGAGTCGTTCGATCTTAAATGTACTTATAGTCTTGCTCTAGCGATGATTCAACAAATACATTACCTGTACTTACCAAGTACTTATCAACTTTTTTCTGCTTGTTCTTATTGTACAGTGAGATTCGATAGTTTATAGCGAGTAAGTACGTAGATTTTGGAAGAGTGGACCGATTTCCTTTTTTTTTATTTACACCAATATTTTGCAACCTTTATTTAATTTTTTTATTTTTTATGAAAATTTAAATAAAATTTAATTAGTTTGAATTGATATTTTGCGGTCCACTCTAACATTATTATTAGAATTGTCAAATAAGAAAAAATTGATTCAACCGAAGCTATAGAATAGAGAGCAGTTGCTACGCTAAAGTTTTACGTGCATACTGGATGAACTTGTTACTTTTAAATGAAAATTTTTCCTAGTTGGCTTGCGAGAGCATCACTGCATTTGTTGGAGACAATGATTGAACCCTTTCCCCCCCAAAACAGTAAACTATGCAAATTTTACAAACGATGTAAAAATCACTTATTCCCTTCACCCTCTCTGTCACGATTTGCATAAAAAATAATCCAAGGGTTGGGTTGAAATCATTTGGTCGATTAATTTTTTTCAGACACTGCCACAAAGAAAAAAAGCTTACTTTAAGTGAAGGAAGAACAATCAAATGCAGCAGCAGCAGCAGCCGACGACGATGACGACGATAAAGCAGAGCGCCGGGAATAAAAAGTAACATTTGAAAGTCTGTAGGAGAAGTCCTGGGTGGAAAGTAATGAACGAAAATCGAGCGGTGTGCGATGCGGTATTTTTTTTCGGAACTCGAGACTGCCACTTGACACAGCCACTACGAATCATATAGCGAGACCTTTTTTTATACATAATATGTACACACTTACGGACACATCCTCCAATGCGCGTATTATATCATACCCATTATACTGTCGAGTACGCCTCTTTTTTCCATTGACGATAACTAAAAGCGTAAAGTTTTAGCTTAAAAAAGAAAAATTGTAAAACAAAAAAAAAAAAAGACTATTGTCGCGCTGCGCGAGGAGAAAGTGCCGCAGCAAGTCTTTGTACCATGTCTTTTAAGCGCATACCTACACCCAATGACGAGGAAGGCCGATTTCTCACTAAACTTTTTTAAATGTTAACGCCAATTGACGATCATCACGACGACGAGAATGTGACAAACGCGCGTCTCTTTTATACCTACATCCACATCTTTTCCAAAACGGCCTACGATACGCATTAACTATCAGATGTGTCGAAACAGAAAAAAAAAACCAATTGACGATGGGCGAGCGCAAGGAGAGGCTTGAAATATCGCGGTACTCTCTGTTTGTTTTAACCTTGCGCGATTGCCGAGTTTTTTTTAATCCGAGGAAAGAGATGAGTCGCGCAAATTGTCAAAAATACAAACAAAGGAGAAGAAAAAGTATCGCACTATGTGTGTATCAAAGGAGGCATGTAGTGTTACGTGTAATCCGAATGATATTTGGCTTTTTGAACGCTTGTGCTTGCAAATTGAATAAAATATAACAAAAAAAAAAGTAATGAAAAACCGTGAGAGTGCTTTTAACGCGTTTTATCTTCAACCTCTACGTCTACTGTCTTTATCAATATACTTCGCTCTACCAGCTGGCTTGTAATCTCGTACGAACTTTCGACTACTCGGGAATGACGCGTCGTAGTAAAAAGTGTAGGGGCAGAGCGGCTGTAAAGCTGAATACAGAGCCAGTCATGAATATGTAAAACAAAACAAAAATTCAGCGTATCTTGTTTTTATTATTATTTTATTTTTTATTTTTTAATAAAGATAATTAAATTAAGCTAAAGATGAAAGAAGCCACGGGTACGAAACTGTAGGGTATAAGTGCTGAAGAAAAAAAAAAAAAAAAAAAAAATTGATAAATAATACAAAACCCATGTGACTTGTCACTGTTCAGTTGCTGACGATATATTTTATTTTTTATTGTTCTATCGTTTAGCTTTTATCGAGTAATCATTGATATTAAATTACGATTTAGGGATGGACGAAGTGCAAGAATGTACGTTGTCTTGAGCTTGCTTTGTACAGAGAAAAACTAAATAATGATGAAGTAAATGATTTATTAAGGTAAGTGCGCGGGTGAAATTTACGCTCTTCCTTCCTTTTTTGGAAAAGAAATTTTAATAACTTTTATTCGCTGCGAGTGCCTTTCGTTTAATTTTAACATGCGATCGATCAACCGACCGCTTGAAATTTTGTTATTAATTTACAATTTTATCAATTTTTACCACTTTACTACCATCATTTTGTTTCTTTTCCTTTTAAACTACTGCAATCAATTTACCTTATTAAGTGTAAGGCTTATGTGTTATGTATCGTCGTTGTAATTAGATTTTTTTTATAGTCATAATAAATTTTATGTTTGTAATTCGTCCTTGTCAGACTTCAGTTTCGCGAAATGCTTGATGGAAGGCACTTGGATGCGTGTCATTTTTCTCGTTGTACGTTTGCACGCCAATCAATTGAGATAAAAAAGATTTTAACAAATATTATATTATAAATCGCGAAAAATTTAAGATAATTATAGCGTAAAGCGTCAAATATGTACACACAAATACACAAGAGACAACTCACGAACAATTGTATGTACACAGAACACAGTAAAAAAATTAANAAACTGAAAACAGAAAACCCTATGAAATACTATCATGCATAAACGATAATGATTGTATTATTGAGCGATAAGATAATTACAGTTTATCATTGTAATAGTTGATATATATTATGAAATAAAATTAATATTATTAAAATAATTCAGGTCAAGTGTTTCATTCCATGATCTGCCTCATTAAATGCATTATCTTATGTTGAACAATTTTGCCGAGTGAATGAATGAAAGAAATACTGTGAAAATTTTGGACCTCAGAATGTATTATTGAGTATTGTACAATGAGTAATATATCATGACTTAATTTTTTCTCAAATATTACATTATTCAATGATTTTTTTTATTATATAACCTATATCTAACATTTACATTTACCATATCAAAAAACATCTTGTACTGATAAAATTAACTGCTTATATCTTGAAAATAGGTTGTCATCGTTTTTTTATTAGCTTAGTATATCCTGTTACATGAAGTTTGTTGAACTGCGTGCCGTAACGTGCT